TGTCATGCGACATTTTGAATGCTCGCCAAATTTGTACGTCACCGTTTAACAAAGATATAAAAATATATTGCGGTTATATGTACATTTTTTTTCATTATTGGCGGAGATTTGTGACACACATACACACACACACAATGTGCAGGCAAAATCGTGTCTGCAACGTTTGCCAAAGCTATATGTCTATCTATTTTATTTCTTTTTGGAGAAAATTCGACATTTCTCGTGGAAAGACCGCGCTCTCGAAGCTGAAAAGACGAAAGCCGAATAATTGTCGCACGTTTACCGCATCCCGTAAATAATCACTTGGTACTTGGGCACTGTTTATTGGGAATTCCGGAACGAAGGATGCTGATTAATGTTCCGAAATCGGAATCGCGCTCCAGCGTGAAATCGCGGCCGTATCCGCTTTTCATTCGGTTTTTTGCGGGCCATATATCGGCTTGTATCGTTCCTCTTTTATTTCGGAACGGCGCACGAAGAGAAATTCAATTTGTCAATTTGCATACGTGCCGAAATAAAATCTATCAGGCTTCCGAGAGTTGTAGTTTCCGTTTGTTATTACTTCTTCCTAAATCCCAAAGAGTTGGCTCTTCATCATCCAGAAGCAATCCGAATCGTCGACATTTCGTGAAAAATCAAATCCGTTAAAATCTCTAGATGATAAAACCATTTTTAAACTATAAAGTAATATATTGCTGTGGTATTTTTATTTTTCTTTTTATTATTATTATTTTTTACGTTTTCATCTTGAAGCAAGAATTGAATTGTGTTTTGCTAGAAGTATTTTTTACAAGAATTCTTAACTCTATTCTCATTTTTTTAAAAGAAGCATTGTTTCTGTGTATTTTCTTTTATTTCTGGCAAAGTATTTCAATCTTAAATAATTTGTTTCGTCGATTTTACGCAACAAGAACACATTTTGACACGATGTGATTCAAGTTCTTTTAAGGTATCATCAATGTGAAATTATGAAACATTTGTTTACGGATTTTTAGAAATTTGAGACGAATGTGCAGATAGCGATAGGATGTATGAGCGACAAATTAATGGTGAATAATAAAAGGATATTTTTAAGGTATTTATAAAGACTCGTATATATCAGCTAACTCGAAGCATCTTATATTTATTAGTCCTTTTTCCACGAATGTGCCGTGGATATTTATCCGAGAGTATCCACGAGAGACTTTCGCCCTTGACCGAGCACGTGTAATAGCGTGTATCGAGAATGACGTCGATCCAGGGCCGATGTGTGCTCTGCCCGGTTTTCAGAGCCCCGCCGTATCTATTACCGTAATCTTCCGCCTTGCCGAGCGAGAACGCCGGATTCCGACTTTGAAGCTCGCTTTTGCTGCCACGGCGAAAGTCGAATCGGAAAGTCCTCTCCGTTCTTCCGGTGAACTTGAAATCGATTTAACTTTCCGACGTTTCTCGGGTACATCCTCGTTTACTCGATGTACTCACGGCAAAAGTGATTTCGAAAAATATTCCCTCGCTGGGCAACGAACGGAGAGAAAAACATCGCGTAATATATTCGTATATAATGAACGAAGTGACTAATTGTTAAGCGAGCAAGCGTTCTTCTATTACAAAAACGTTTCCTAGGCGCGTCACATAAATCACGGTTCCTCGGGTTGGATTCAATTAATTGCAGCTTCACGGAAATGATCCTCGGGCGTCATAAATGGGTCGTCGCTCTACCAATTGTACCGGATTCCTCCGTTATACCCGGCGTACTACAATGCCGGCCGTAAAAACGAGAAAGAGCGGGGTGAAACGGAAAAGTTTTCGCGGTTGCTAAAATGGAAAAGTGTGGAGACGGCGGGCATTGTTTCCGGTAACAAGTGCCATTTTCGCGAATGGCACAGTTACCGTGCATTCTCGCCGCGCTCGCGCTCGCGCGCGCGTGGAGCACGTCGACCACGTGCACATACAGAGAGAGCAGAGGCAGGAAGAGCGAGATCGTCGTGTTACGCTATACGTGTCCTATTCAGAAATGCGCCCTGTTCAAAGACCCATTACGAAAATGACCATTAAAATAAATTACTCTCATCACGCCGGCTATAGCGATGGTTTGCTGGCCGCCTATAACGCCAAGCCGGCTAGCTCGATGGCTGCGAATACGTGACACGGAAATAGTCGGCGGTACGAATCAATTTACGTAAATAATAGAGAGAGTACGCGGCTCGCGCCTGGACCGCTAACAATGGGAAAATTCGCGCCACCGGATACACGGCACTGGCCATTAAATCGGACGCATTACGGGTGTACGTGCGAACTTGAAATTTCCCAGCTTAAGCGTACCGTGCTTTTGGAAATATTTCGACGGAATTTATGATATCAAAAAATTTCACAAATCGCATTTGAAGTTTGTAAAAAATTATTAAAACCATATTTTAACCATATTTGATTTGCCACAATCCGTAATATTTAACAAACGTACGTAAAAATAATATTGGCTATTACTAGAACGCTATTGTCTTTTTTTTTTCATAGTTAATCGTATGATTATACATAGAAGCATATAAAAGAATATTTGTTTCAATTAATAGGATTGTTTCAAAGCTTTCGTAACTTTTTACAAATTTTATTATAATAATGTATGACAAGATGACATTAATTAATTAATGTTATTCTTTCTTTTTTAATAAGACACTTTGCATTGTTTCTGTTTGGTCTATTTCTTATTCGCAAAATTCAAGAAATGTTGAGCTATATAACATAATCTTTTGCAAACACAAAGACTTTAAAATTGCTTGATATAAGTAAATAAGGTGTTATAATATTTAGATAACCTGTTAAAACCCAAACTATCGCATATAACAGCTTCATCTTTTCCTCGTCGTATCAAAGCTAAGCTTAAAATATAGATATTACAATTACAACGATTAATAAAATGATAATTTTTTAATCTATTTGATACATCTAAAAAGGAGATAGAGTTAATTAAAAATATAATTTAGAAGTTTGTGGATGAAGATAATAACGCTTTTATTTTTTGTAAATTTTGATAGAAATATATTCACAGATTTCTCTTTTATAATATTATTACCAGCGTATTTTTTATAGCTATACAGGCAAATTTTTTTTCAATTATAGCGCGTAATATTTTAATCGGTAAACGGACTACTCTCTGTTTGTACGGTTCGCATCTGTATAGATTCGCGTCAGAATTAAAACCGGTGTTTGTACTAGCGAGGCACATTGCCTTTATACAAATGGCATTTATACGTGCCCGAGTTCTACAAACATTTCCAGTAAACCTTGTTTGTACCAGTATTACACTGATATTTTTAATTCTCGCCGGCTTGTACACGAATCGACTTTCCTGTTTACGGAAACCAACAACATCTGTTATTTCAAATTTATGCTTGGCTACAAACAGATCTATATTTAGCTTTGACGTTGCGCATTTCCAAAAAACACTTTTTTTTATTATCGATAACATGCAAATTATTTCTATCAGTTTGCTTACATCAGATTGTCGTCAATAGTATTTTTTTCAATTTGCAAGGTAGAATTGTTTTCTATTCTATTCCAAAAAGTACACATTATGTGAACAACTCTTTGTTAGACTTTGTTTTCATAAAGTATATCTTTTTGTTAACTTTCACGTGATGGCCGTAATCGATAAACTTTGCCGAAGGCGACTCACTCTCTCTCTCTCTTTCTATCTCTTTCTCTAGCGGGTTTAGGAAATAGCAGAATAATTCATTTATAGCGAACACTATAATTCCATTTTACTGGGTAGTGACATTAACTTACCGATCGATCGCGTGAAACAAAACATCAGATAATTTCCATTGTATCTCGATATTGCATCGCACTTTTTCTGAGTAATATCGACTATCGTTATCACCACGTTTCTTCGATATTAATTATTACGTCCGACAGCATATCAGAAACTGTGCGCGCGGAGAAACACGCGCGGCGGTAATTGAATCTCTTCGTTCCATTAAAATTCTTCAAGCAAAGTCGATCTCTTACTAGAAGAGGCCTCTCTTTTTCTCTCTATGTGTATGCTTTTTTTATCGTAGTTCTAAATGATAGGGAAGTTCTATTTCATTCGCATTTGTCGGAAATTTTCTGTCTTTATTTTTCACCGCGGCGTGGGATCTTTTTCGCACGGAAGTCAAACGTGCGTTCGATGGCGGATAAAATGCCAGTACATCAAAATCCTTTTTCGGCACGATTCAGCAAATATTGACGCTCGCGAATTGAAATTTGCATCGACAGCGAAATTGGCAAAATATTTCCGTACGTAAAAGAGAACGTTAGGCTGCGGTGGCGGTGAAAACGAGACGAGAGTTGAGAGGAACGGCAAAAGGGAACGAGGGTCTTCCCGTGGGATACGACCGGACGAAGGGAAAACTGTAGCCTTAAATTTAATATGACGCGTGCTACGATCGATTCAGGACGCGCTTCCCACAGCCATTCGTTCCGCCAATCGAATTCCATGGCATATATTATGCGGCTTCTCGGTACTGTTCCACAGGATGCAACATGCGCGCCGAGTGTTTTCACGATCGTTTTATTTGGCGAAATAGAACTATCGTTTCTTTTCATTGTTTCTCCGAGCTTACACTATGCGCGAAAGGCATCGTTAGATTTCCATAAAACTTGAAGTATCGAGTTAAACGATAAAACAGAATATAAAGATTAGCTCGGTTACTGCGAAGCTATTTTTTTTTCTAAATGTACGTACCTATGTTAAGGTTGTTATATCGTTAACTGTATTTGCTATATTTTACTAACCTGCTGATTTATCAATTTCTGATATATGGATTGAAAAGATTATCAGATAAATGATATAAATAAGAAATGTACATCATTGAGGAAAAAAATAGATAGTCTTTAATTTATTTTATTTTAAAATTTTTAAAAATTATTTATCAGTTTGTAATCTGATACATAGAACCTAACAATATCACGTACACAACTAATTAAAATTGTCATTTTTATTGGCCCGTTTTTCTAATAATGATCTATCTTTCGATTTTCAGGGTCCGGTCGGAGAGGTGGGCGGCGTGAGGCTGCCACTGCAGTCGTTACATGGATACGGATCTGTGTTCATGTACTCGGCGTCGACGAGTCCCGGGGGTGGAGGTGGCCAGGGTGGCGGAGGCGGGGGTGAAGTCACTCTCCGCCTCCGCGAACCCGAGGACATTCCCGAAGAGGTCCTCGCCCGCCTCGAGGACACCGCCACCCTCTCCATCTCTCTTCAAAGCGATGCAGTCCTGAGGCTAGGGGCGGCTGGCGCAGGTAACATGCCTCTTACCCTCTTCTTCACGTTTGCTTACTGATCAAACATAAAACGCGCGCAGAAGTGCGCTTGTTATGATACCGTAGAAGATGGTTAGACATGAAAGTTGCTACGATCGATCAAGTAATTCCAACAAAAATAGCGTTCTATAGCCCGGTAGTCAACTAAATTATATTGATATGTTAAAGTTTTGTCAGAATAGCTAGAAGCGAATGCCAACACGAAAAGACAACTTTTTATAAGTACAAAGCGGAGATTAACTCGCATCTTATATTATAATACATTATTAAGATTATAGTACATAACTATATTAGACTCTATTGCGTATAAATCGATTTCTGTAGTATAATAATAGCTTTAATGTTTTACTTAAATTTATTTCCATGCTTTTTCGCATTAAGATCGACCGCTGTATTTCGTTTGTTTTTTTTCACTGCGGTTGCGGCAGAGCTAAAAAGGTTTCTATCCCGACTACCCCTGAATCGTGGCGGCATATAATAAATAATTGGCTTATACGATGCATAAATTTCTACTGGTTACTCTGGGATTTATTATAACGGAGGTCGCTTCCCTCATATTTTTGGGATCGCGTTTAATTCCCGCGTTTTCGAAGAGCACTCGGTCCTGGTCCGAGTAGATTAGCCCCATATCCAACCCCGTGTGTGCTCTAATGCAGAATTATTTCGATGGATTAGAGTAATCCTTGCTTTATGTGATCAGATCCGAGACTTTCCCCGACAAAGCGATCCGCTTGCGTTACCGATAGTTCTTGGACGACGAAATTCACAAAGCCAATTAATGCAATTCAAACGTTTATTTTCTCAAATATAATCGATATAATACTATTAATGGTAATAATGAAATCTGGATTTTTATCTCTAAAATTGAAACATTTTTATTTATATACGAAGATATTAATTTATTCTTTAGTTTTTTAAATGTTAAGTCATTAATTATTGATTATTATCGCAATATACGTGATGTATTGTAATACCGGATTTATGATTTATCTGAGCACATTAAGATAAATAGACGAAGATGATAAATTACAATGTATAAATGAGATAAAGAAGCACATTGAATTTTGGACATCGCGTTTATCTCCGCGTGCAGCGAGCATTTCGATCTTATTCGTTCTTACGAACAAAGAGTCCGGCAATTCAGGGTTCTACTTCTATAGAAACGCACGGAATCAAACGATTATTGCTTTCTTCTAAACGGCGCAGGTGACTATTCGGATTGGATCGTTTCTCGAGCGCCGAAAGCAAGAAGCCGAATCGTTTATATCGGCGCTTAAACTCACAGCCTTTCTCCATTTTCAGTTTTCCGAAGCTCGAAACTTTTAGACTTTCCTTATAGTTGCCATTTTCCATTCAGCCGAGGCATTCATGTTCCTTCCTTCCTTCGGTAATTCTACTTCATCGGGTCTTTTTACGAACGGTTGCCGATACGGAGAACTTCAGCACGAAAATTCCGTGAGAAATACATGTGGGTTCTCATGCTCGAAGATCAAGAGAGAGACATAGCGCCAGGATCTCTTTCAGCAATCAGGGATTATATTTCGAATTCGGTGATATGGAGCGGCAAATACTTTGTTCAAAATTCCTGCGCACCTATCTTTATATAGAATGTCCCGGATCACTGTCGTTTTTTCTTTCAGTTCAGATCCATTGACGAATCTCAGAATCAATCTGGAAAGTTTACCTTGGAATATTGCTTACGGCGGAAAATATGATAGAGCCGTGATAGGAAGATTTTTTTCTGATACTATGATTTTATTTAAAATCTTTCGTAAATTGAAGATTTCCGATCGGTCGTCTGAATATGAAGCTGGATGTAAAATAGCACTTTTCTACGTATTTGAAAAAGAAATTCCTTTTATTAACTCAAAGAATATGCGTAGCGTACAGAACTAACGGGAACATTTATTATCATAAAATATACTATCAAGTGATGCCTATTTAGACTTATTGATTTGTTTTGAGTTTATAATATTCAGTCGCAATTTTACTTTACCAATCTTCGTTCTTTTCAACGTGAGTTTTGCGAAAACATGCTTCTCCCGTAAACTATAAAGTAGCCAAACAGTAAAACAAAATATAAGAATTTGAAACCAATATCGTGGTGTTTATCGATTTCCCGACTTTTAAAAAAGAAACAACTTTAACTTCGTTGAAAGCGTTTGCCGTCGAAGCGAGACGCATGCAAACTTTCGATACGAAATACGGATATCTAAAAGGTCGAAAGTTTTTTTTTCTTCTCAGAATCGGGCACCAAGGGAGGGATTCGCCTTTGCGGAAAGGCGATCCAGGGACGATCGAGAACGTTAACTTTCAAACGATTTGTCAGAGCCGAGCCACAGCGGTCTGGCCCGATTCTCGCTCACACGTCCCCATAAATCCCGGATTTTCATAAGTTTTTCTCCCCCATCCCCCGATCTGCAGTTCCCTCTCCCCTCGGTTCCCACTACTGCCCCCCTTTTCGTATCGCATCTCTCGAGCGCCTTCGCCGAAATCGATCCGAGATATATCTTTTGCTCGCCTTTCTCCTTTCGTTCTTACTAATGCCGCGGAATCGCGGCTCTCGGGGAAAGAAAGACGGTGCGGGGGAGATTTATCGAAGTTGCGGCTTGTTACGGGGGCTTTAGACTTCCGGCAGGAAAGGGTGGAGGACGGTGCTCCATGCACAGCTCGAGCTGTAGAGCCGAGGCAGCTGGGAGAAGAAGAGAGGTGCTAGCGATTGATTAAGAGGGTCGTTTGTGCCAAGGAAATGCTACTTGAAACGCCACCGCTATCCGAGCCCATTCTCGAGCACGCCCGTTCCGCGCTCTGACTTTTTTCTTCTTGCGGCACCTATCCTCGCTGCGGGACGTTACGGCGAATCACTTCAAGACATTAAAGACAATGGCAGGGTTTCGAAGTTGGTTTCGAAGCTTAACTCGGTGATTATTATAGAAATCAGAAAACTGCGGGTGAAATTTAATTGATAATAAAAGATCCAGGAGAGAGCGAAGAGAAAGAAATTAGAAAGTCAGATTATTGCTGTTCAAACTATTTAACAGAATTGAAACTTTAATTCTTATAATATAATATTTCCTTCATTAAGGACTTTATTTGTATCCGTATTTAAAAGTAAAAATTCTCTACAATTTTTTATACTTTCGACGTCAAGTAAGCGTATCTCGAGTTGCGCTAATTATATCTTTTGAACGAATTACGGATCCCTTTCTTGATTATTGAATAACGCAAGGTTTGACAAATAGCGACAATATCCTTGTGGATCAATGCGGGTCAAAGGGTCGAAACCATTCCAACCATTCACAGTATCGATTATTGGGAGCCTTACCCAAAGTACCATTCGGTACTTAAGCGACAGTCTGACAGTGTAATAGGGTTTCCCCAGTAATGCGACAGTATCAATAATCAGACACATTGAAATTAATCCAAGCTGTTTGCTCGGATAACGATAATACGGAAATAAACTATCCTATTCTGCAGAATATTGGCAGAACGTATTTGGAAGTTAAAAGAAATTGGTAATATTACAATAATCGGAATCTTTTATTGCTGGTGTATTATTCGCATAAATAATTTTGCTGTTAAAATTATTTATTAAAGAATGAGACAGCGTGGAAAATTTTATTGTGTGTAATTGTAATTCTTTCCTTTATAAATATTATTATATATTATTGTTTATCGAGACATTCCTGATAACAATCATTAAGAAATTATAAAAAGATTATTAAATTATGTTAAAAGTATATGGCATACAAAATTGAATGTTTAAAAGAAAAATAATGTTTTTTTTTTTTACAAAAACATTAACATAGATATAGACGCTTTTTTTTACCAAAGCCATCGTAATTTATTTATATATTTAGCACTGCTCTAGAAAATATTGGATATAATTTTGGATGATATTGGAAACTTCTCCGTGAGGGTTTTTATTTTCGAGGAAAACTTTCAAAGTTTTTTAATTTTACTTTCTCGGTGTTTAAACTCAAAATTCGAAAGTCTCGAAGAAAGACAGTATTAATCAATTTTTTTTATTTGTTGAAATATTTTAAATTGACTAGAGACTATATAAAAAAACGGGATATTTTTAGAACATTCTTAGCAGAATATGTAGTTTTAATGTTAAAAGATTTCCTTTAATTCGGATGGTATTTGTAAGCGAGAAATAAAAACGCCACAATCTGTAGATGAATACCTCGAGGATACGCAAAACGATAGAACCGCGGAATCGAGCGATGTTGCGTGCACAAGGACGGGGATAAGAAACGCTGAAACGCATGTAATACCGTTGCGGTAATACCGTAAACCGGAAAAGAATGAAACTAGGCGCAATAAAGGAGCCGAGAATACTCGGCGAGCGCGGAGGGGCAATAAGTCTGAAATATGCCAGCGTTTTATTCTCGCCGTACGAATATCCGGCGCGAAGGCAATGGGGAACGAGTGCGGTGACAAAGAGAACTCGAGAATGGCGAGAGAAAGAGACGGTGGGTTCCGCATTCGGAAAAAAATACCTGCGATGTACACGGCTTACACGGGGGCGAGAGCACGACAGAGCGGGCGTATGCACAATTCTCTGGCAACGTGTGCCGTATAAATAGACACGAGAAAAAGAGAGACCGAGAGACAGAGAGGCGAGGAAAAACACAAGGGCAGGAAAGAGGGAGAGTGAGAAAAATAGGGAAAGGTATGTACGCGCGGTGGAACTCGAAGGTGGAAAACTTTATGGCAAGAGAGCGAAAGAGAGAGGGGTGGGAGGGGAGAGCAATTCTCGTTATAACTTTGGCGCCCCGCGGAAACTTAAACTGCTGCGAGCCGAACATGCAGAACTTTCGGCCGTTTTCCTACTCGGGACAATCCGGATCGCCCATCCCTTTCTACACTTCCTTTGCTTCCACCTCCGGGTTTGCCCCAGGTACGCGCACCGTCGTCATCGTCGTCCTTTTCACGAGGGACTGCTCTTTTAATATTGTCGGAGAGAATGCCTC